GGGGGGGGGGGGGGGGGAGAGAAAAAGAGAAGAGGGAGAGTGAATTTTTCTTTGAAGAAGTATCTCATAATTAAATACTAAATATAGTACTTCTGTTTTATATAAAACTGACAGTATATAAAATGAAGTAATAAAGTAATTGTACATTCAAAATAATGCATTGCTAGAGACAATAGACTTGACCATTAATTGAAACAATTCTCATTGACAAAATAAGTATTATTATTGTTATTATTATTATTATTATTATTATTATTATTATTATTATTATTATTATTAGTATTCATTTAAAAATACAGGTCGCATGACAGCTCTCTCAGCTGAGGGGAGCCTCTTCCAGAAAATCCTCTGTAGAATATGTAGGTGAAATACAGATAACTTTTATGTTTATTACACAGACAAACAAGTTTTATATTTACCTCACATTAACAGAATGAAACAAGAAAGATGACCAAAAGCAGTGTTGAAGTACAAAATAACAGGACGGAGGGATGAGGGAAGACGACAAAAGAAATGGCTAGAACAGGAACACCTGGAGGTGTAAGCCTCCTAGTCTACTGGAAAACAGTACAGGCCTAGCAACCTGCAGTTAATGATTGTTAAAACATTGAAGAGGAGGAATAAAACTCCCAGACTTCCCTTACCTAATGAATTCCTACACTTGTCACATCTCTGGTAAACAAGATATTTTTTCTGAAAAGTTTTCCAAATTCAAGGAATGTAACAAAAAATTTTATTTCATGGAGAAAATATTAAATTGTGCAATGCAATGTACCTGTAGGGTTTCCTGGATTGATGACCACAAGAGCCCTAGGTTTACACTTTCCTTGAGTATCCTTTATGGCCCGCTTCAATTCTTCTATTGTCAAGCCCCATCCTTTTGATTCATCCAAATAGTAACCTACCTACAAGAATTAAACAACAAAAGGGAAATCATAAATGCACTTTGGGATACATCAGTATTTTTCTAAAAAATACTAACAAGAAGTACACATACCTGCTGCATGTCAAATTCTGCAATAGTTGCGGAATACAGTGGGTACTGTGGAATAGGTACCATAATAGCAGGTTTAAGCCCACATATTTCACAAATAAGGAGTTTCAACACTGCCTATAAAAACAAAAAAATACCATTCTGAAATCAGAGGTTTAATACATTTGTGAAGCATAACTAGTTTGTTACTCCTCCAATTATCTTTTATTTCAACTGATTAAATCTCTGCAAGAAATGATAAGACAATTAATACAATAAAGAACGACAATTAATCAGTGAACAATTCTGATGCAATAAAGTGTCATAAATAACCAATTAAAAGTGGTATCCAGCAGACAGGGTGCCATGTCTGAAAGGGTTTATTTCTTAAAAATCTTGGAATCTGTGCAAGACGTATGGGAGAGAAGTATATTCTATGAAAATTTTCTTGCACATCTTTTGACTTCACTTAGTTGAATGATGAATAAAAATACCAACAAAGTGAGATTAGAAACATTTGAAAACTAGACACTTTTGGTCCACAGTTAGAAAAATTATTTGCATTGGTAAACGACCTATATATTTAACTTTATAAGACTGTCAACTCTATAGTAATCCATGTCCATACATGTCTTCCTACCACACCTCACAAAAGAAGAGCTCTAATCACGTGCATAATGAAGCTTCATTTATGTCTAGAATCAAAACAAGGGCTATCTAAACATTTGCTCAATGCTTTAGGGAAACCATCCAGAAAACCTGATTGAGATGGGGTCAAGCTGGATGTCAACCTCTATCTGATGTACCCGACCTGACATGTAAATCACTTACAAATGTCTATCATATACTTTACATTGAACGGTGTGGTTGAAATTTTTCAAATACTAAATTTCATGCAATATCTGAACAACAAACAGCACGGCATTTAGAAGGCACTTGCTGAATTTAAAAAATCCAACTAAACTTTTTAAAATGCTTAATACTATGTCATTCTAAAAACCCAAACAAAATATTAGTATAAGAGAAAAAAAAGTTGATTTTCATCACGCACTTTTATGCCATCTGATGCACCGGCACACAATATGATATCTTGCCAATCAGATGGGTATCCATCTCTCTTCTCAATGTACTCTGCCACATGACGGCGAATGATTTCAATGCCAGGAGAATCAGTGTAAGATCCTGAAAAATTTCATCCAAACAAATAATTATTAATTAAAAATATTAAGTATTCAAATTAAGGTAGTTAGATGAATGTCAAATTTTTGGCTCTATTAACCTGCACTTCCTCCTCTACAGCCAGCAAGAAGTAATTTTGCTCTTTCCTTAACATCATCAGGGAATTTTGGATCATCCATCAGCTCAGGGTAAGATACCAGGGCCAAAACCTAAAAATGACACTTCCAGATGCAATTTAACCTTTCCACATTATGATAATTCGGGACAAAACAGGACTTTATCTTACCTGTCGAATAAAAGTAATGGGGGTTTGACCCATTGCATGGCAATCCCCAATATTGGCTTTGATGACTTCATTAAATGGTTTCTTTGCTCCCTGGAATAATCCATATTTTATTTTACATACAACATGCACATTTGAACACATTTACCTGTGAAATCTTACAGAACAACAACATTAAAGATAGGATGTAAAATTTAAAATCCACAACATGTGTTACCAGCTTTAGTACTCATAAATAAATTATTCTGACATGGAAAGAGCATTTGATTTCCACATCTGCAGCTACTGAAATTTTAATTTCATCAGACAGATGTCACAATTCAAATTGATATTGTTTTTTAGACATTAAAATAACCTCTGGTAATTAAAAAAGTAAGCAACATCTTGAAAAAAAAGCAAGCAACATACAATGACATCTAGAAGAATTAACTGTCACAACTTGAAGCAAATGAAAAAAAAGCATTTACACCACACTAGCTGTACACATGAGAACATTCCTTATACAAAGTACAATTTGGACTTACACAAAATCAGAAAAACAATAATTCCTGAACAGAAACATGCAAACACACCAAGAGATTGCAATGAACTGGAAACTTCAATTATCCTAAACAAAGTCAATAAATTACTTTAACCTTTGATTGACCTCGCTTAGTAACATTGGTTAGAAACGTGCTTTTTAATTAAGTATATATTAGTGGTTTTGTAAGAAGTACAATCTATCAACATTCCAAAACACATTACCCACGACTTGCGAGACCGTACTGTCAAATTACACAAACATATGCGTTGATTTGACCGGGTTAAAATGTAAACATCTCCGGATAATTCCCTTACCTGCTCTAGTTCCTTCTCAATTGCTGATGCTCGTATTACAAGTGGGCCGCGAACGGCATATTCCATTACTTTTACATTTGGATTTAAATTATCTAACGTCAGGAGACAGCCCTCCCGTCCACTGATACTCGCCATTGCACGAGGAAACTGAGAGTGATTGAGAATCCATCCCGGCAAATGATTCGGGCTGGCTTTCTCTTTAGCTCTCTTAACGGAGTAGGTGATAACGCGATTAGCAGTGGGCGCCAGATATCGTGATGACATAACAGAGGCAGGAAGTAAAACCGTGATAACTTCAAGTTTGTGTGCCGCGCACTATTTACTTACAATTAATATTGATTCGCGTCCAGAACTTGAAATGATTTTATACCTCGGCATTCATCATACTGCATAGTCCATAATATAACATATCATCATTTGCAAAAATAATGTGGCATTTGCCCTCAACGTCCTTGACACTATGAAAATACAGTGCCCAGGTATTTCACGTTTTGATGCCGACAAACACGTTTTGTGATTAGCAGGATTCCCACTTGCGCCTCGAAAATTTTAATTTATAGCAGATAAAGCAGCATGGAAGCTGCCAATCCAATATACGTCTGTACTTTTCTTCAAAGCGGGGGCTCAAGCAAGCCAAGTTTTGGGAGCTTCTCCTAGGTCACATCTCTGAACCACTCATCAGCTGTTTGCGATCTGGTGTTCGGCTGATTTCGGTGAGAATCGGATTCCTTAAGAATATCGAAATCCTTTCGTGAAGGGTTCAGTCTGTACATTCTATTGGCTAATATCTTCTCAATACAAAAAATTATCTCAAGTCTTATCATCTCCAATGGCATCAAGTTGCTCTACGTCAGTATTTCTTGTTGTCTTATAAGCACAGTACTACAACGACGAAAATTTCGTCATTTAATTTTCATCCAACCAAGATTGTACAATGTAGTAGTACATTTTACCAAGCCCGTAGCACTTCATAATTATTCATATAAAGCATATTACTTCACATAATACGATCAAAATCCAATACATCATTTTGTACTTTTAGATAGGACTACATAAAACCGTAATATTCAACTTGGCATTTTACATCGTACCAAAGTACAATTACTTAAGTTTCGACAATGTCACTTGCACATTTCGCACATCAAAAATTCAATACTTATCAAGGAGTTTTTTCTTCTTCTCACTGGCCCGTTCTCACAATAAGTTGATCAATCACGTGTAAATGGCATGTATAATGTCACCAGCGCCCCAAAGTGACAAGCCTTTTTTACCTATCAGAAGACAGCGACCAGTGGAGCACGATCATCCCACATTTTCAAATAAGTGACCAACCTAAAATTCATCAGATATGCAGCCTAGCATACAGCTCTGCGACATTAAACTGAAATAAATAATGAATAAATAATTATTATTTTTAAAATTGTTTTATATTTTTACATCGTAAACTATAAAACCATTAAACAAAATATATTTTAAGCAAGTCGAAGGAATGAAATAGGAAAAACATATACATTCCTTAACAAGAAGTTTATGGGTTCCATAACGAACAATGGATTATTTATTAATTTTTATTAATAAGAGAAGATGCAGTTTCCTGAAAATGCTTACGTTTAAATTATATTTCTTCCTTCCCCTGCATTGAATTTGTATTTAAATGTTTTTTAAAAACTCTTCCATATTTCAGGAGCGAAACCAGAGGCAAATTTTGGGAGGGGAAATGAAGACTGTTTTGGTCGAATGTGTCATATTACAGATTTTGTAAAATACCACATGCTACACTTAGCTCCTGCTGCGCTATGATTTTATTCGTTTTATAATTGTTGGAAAATATTTTTTCTTGACAGTTTCGTGACAAGTTAAAATTAATGGTTACTGAAAAATTTTAGGAGAGCGGAAATTTCCCTCATTTCCCTTCCCGTTGATCCGCGCCTGCATATTTACATTATGATTGACCAACGTTCCTGGGAGTCTGTCTGTTCCTGCAAGTTGTTCCTTCCTTTCCGTCCATCATGTTTTCATTTCCTCCCTCCCTTCCTTCCTGCCTACCTTTCTTCATTTCTACCTTCCCTTTGACATTTCTGTTTTTCTTCTTTCAATTCTCGCTTTCTTTATTGCCTTCTTTCCTGCTTTCCTACTACGTGCAGTCTTTCCTGATTTTCTCCCTTGTAGTCTTCCTTCCTTCTTGCCTTCTACCCGTCTTCCTTCCTCCCTCTTTTCCTATCTTCCCCTTTTTACCTTCTCGCTACCACTACCGCGGTAGAGAGAAAGTTGCACGCAAAAACCACGAATTTTCGGCCGAAAAACTCTTGTTACAGGACCCTGACAACGAAACAGTGGATAAATCCAGTTGCTAAATTTAGGGGGGTAAATCCCTCTAACACGTGGTGTAGCCAGATTCCATGTTTTGTGGGTCCTTGATACCGAAAACTAGATTGACGGCAAAACATTTGCCCGTCGGTAAACAACGCTAGCGGCTAAACCGTTCAGCCGCATTTTCTCAAAAACTGATATTCCGCGATCGATCAAGCTGATGTCACGTCCCCTCGCATTTGAAATCGATATTTTAATTTTGAAGATACTTTACTTGAAGCCCCTGGGACACTTTCTAAAATTAAAAAAAAAAGCTTCATTGTTTTTGATTAAATTATGTAGTTTGGTAGCGTAAAGGACGTTTAAGTGCAGTCTTCATAGTGCAGATCTCATTTTCATTGAAATACCTAATTTTTCGAAAATTGAAAAAAAATCAAAATCTTATCGGCGTATTTCTACAACTAAAATTTTAAAGATAGATATTTTTCCCTTCATAAAATCTGTTGTTTAAAGATAGATTTTGAAATAAGATCATGTACAAATTTTCGAAAATTTGAGTATTTTTTGGGTAATTTTGAGTGAAATATGGGCAATTTTAAATTTTGTTTAATTTTTTTTCTCAAAAACTGGCTCCATCGTTTTCGACGAAATTTTGTTTTTGGATATTCCGAAGGACGTATAAGAAAATTGTGAAGATCTCATGTGGGTTAATAACTCTGATTTTCCGAAAATTCAAAAAACTTTCGGCGTCTTCCTAGGAATACAATTATGACAATACAATTTTAAAATGAAATGTATTCATTAAAAAAATTTCCAAATAAGGTCATGTTGAATTTTTTGAAAATATAAGAATTTTTGGTGTAATTTGGTGAAAAACAGTCGCTTGCTTCCAAGTTACTGCGCTTGGTGAACGAAAAATGAATCGTGATCGCATTTGGATGCTACGTAAGTTAGAATTTTATATTATTTCATATTTCATTTCACTATTATTATTTATTATATTTATATTATTTCATTTTAAATTGCTTCCTTTAATGGTGTTAAATATGAAAACGAATAGATGATTTTGCTTTGCTTAATAAGATGAAAGAATGAAAAGTAATGCGTGTAAAAAAGTTTCTTTCTGCGTTACTTCCTTCTTACCTCCCTTCCTGCCTGCCTTTCGTCCTTCTTTACTGTCCACCTTCATGCTTTCATTCCTTTTTTTAATTGTTTCCTTTCTTTCTTTCTTTCTTCCTCTCGTTCAGGGGATAGCGAAGGGTTGAAATGAAATCTGATCCATAAACTAAATTGCTATAGTCCAATACTGAGCGAACGAGTGTTTATACAGCCCCAGAAGACAAATGCCGTCTGCTCTCCATGAAATCGCACTAAGAGTGCGAAGAAGATTGAGAGAAGAAATGCATCTGGTCTGCATGCGACGGACACGGTTGCGCCACGTCAGGGATCTGTCGAAGGCGAATCTCAGGAACGTAGCGTTGTCAGCAAATGGAGGTTGGTGACCACATAGGGAAAACTTGAGTGTTTTATGGAGTTGAGAAGTGTATGCAAGGTGTTTTTGACATTAAAAAATTAAAACCCGAAGACTTGCCCCATTGATGCCATCTTTTAACGACAAGTTGATGCCGTCTTTCGATGATGATAGGATTTTAATGAACAGACTCCCGCAAGAACGTCCATAAATAGTGATTAATATTGATAAATAGTTATTTACAGTTACTTGAACTATTGAACTGGTTCACGTACAACGGAAGCGACAGTGTTAATGGCGATGGGAAACAAGGTGACAGAAGATTGATCCCTGAGGAACATCGCTTTCGAAGGAGTTACTACTGGATACCTTGTCACCCAAGCGTACTTGCAACAATCGATTGGTCAGAAACTTCTCAGGTGCAGAGAGTCGCCCCTGAAACTCCATGAGTGTAATGTACGCAATTTTCCACGTCTCCAGGTGGTGTCACAAGTTTTATTCTAGGTTGAAGAAGATAGCTACTAAATGTTGACTCAAAGCAAAAGATGAAGAGATTTGAGTTTCTAATATGACTTAAGTGACGCAGAGTTGATCGGAGCTTTCCGAATCCAAGTTGGATTGGAATTAGCAAGCTCCTTGACAGTAAGGACAAGACCAGACGATGGTTTTAAGTTCAAATGTTTTTCGGCCTCTTCCTGCGTCTACAATATTGAAGGTAGACATTTTTCCTTAATGAAATCTGTTTTATGGAGACTTCTGTAAATAAGGCCATGTGCAACTTTTCGAAAATATAAGAAGACGACGTAATTTTGCGAGAAATATACGTTATTTTTTTTGAACAATTATTGTCTTATGAACGACTCCAATTTTTTTTTAAAACCTTCTCTTTTGTGTAAAAAAGAACAATGAACAGTGAAGAGTGAAAAGAACAGTTCTTGTCTTGTTTTGGGCTAACTTTCTGTTTTTCAAAAATTGCAAAAAATTAACATTGCAAAAGTACAATATTGATTTTTTTAAAAAAAATAAAAATCTGATCTTAAATAGTAGGTATTTAAAAAAATCATGCCCAATTTGTTGAAAAAACTAGTAGTTTTTGCTTATTTTTCTTATAGAAGTTGAAGTAATCCATAAAAAAACCTCAAAAATGGCTCTAATTTTTTTTCTTTAAATGTATTTCTTCCACTGATTGAGCACAGGATGATTCAAAAGTTTGGCAGGTCTAATTTTCGTTGAACTATCTAAATTTTTGAAAAAATACAAACGTTGGAAATAACCCGAAAAAGTAGGTTGTAACACTACTTGTTTTTTCTTTGCTCAAAGTTAGTGATTCAGCCCTGTATCCTTTCTGTAAGGGATTTGGATAAAAATACTTCAAAATACATTAAAAGCAGTAGCGTACCGAAATGAGTGCGGGCCCGCCACCGGGCGTACTGTAAAGTGTATGGCAAACTCAAGAAGTGTATACACGTAGTACTTTGGCGCAATGGCCTCTGACGAAGCCTGGGTCGAAGCGTCCCGGTCTGGCGACCATGGTTACGGAATACGTGTGGTTAGCACATAGATATTCCTAAGCCGTATTCTGGCCTTCTCAACGTGAGAAGTTTAGTTTTCTCATCGCCACACAGCAACATTAATGGGACATTACTATGAAAACGCACACTATAATCTTGCGCGACTGGGAAGCGAACACGCTGACCCATGAGCTACCCGTGAGGGCTCAAGTAGAGTTAGTACCTTAAATAATAAAACCATCCTTTAACAAATTCATACTTATCAGTCTATGATAACTACATAAGAAATCAATGTTACTGATATATCATAGTTTTATTAATAAAACCAGAAGGCCTTCTTACATTAAAAACTAGTGAAACTGGATGGCACGTCTTGCTTTACGGAATGCGAAGGATACTAAAACTTCACTAACGTTAACGGTTTGAGCTCGCTTACACTCGATACTGAGAAGGCTAAGACTACTTAAGTCTCTCCGGGGCCATATCACTTCGTAGGTCTAGTTTTTGTAAGTTATAATTTATAAATCGCTCGTTCGACGGCAGATACCGTAACTGGAAGAGTCAAAAACCAGTAAAACGCTGTGTTGACATCAGGAACACTTGATGCTATCTATGCTTGAATTTATAACGAGCAAACCTTTGGATAAATCATGTAGACATATTCACATTGACCTGGACATTTCTGATTTCAGCGCATCTCTGAAACATATCACTTGGTCTGGAAATGCACTTCAAAGATAATCTACATATACACATTGAAGATATATTACAGCATTGTGTACTTTTTCATCTGCAGCACATGTTTAGATTGGCGAAAGAACTTTGAAGAAATTAACAACGTTATTCAAAACTGTTTTTAAACTGGTTTACAACAATGTCCAAACAACCGTTAAATACAACTTTGCGGAAATATTCCTGCGGATTTTCAAGTCGCTCGTCCTGGCACAATCCATCAAAACGGTGCTTCACACGCTGAACTCTTCTAGTTTCAAATGTTAAAGGAATGAGATTTTCCCTTTTCAGCAAG